AAAAAAAAAAAAAAAAAAAAACTGCAGTTGTTAAACCCTGCATTTGTTGAGCTTAGGAGTCAAAACTGGTGTACTAGCGGAAAATAAGTATTTTAAACTTTAAAAAAAAAAGAAAACTTTTTACAAGTCAGATGTGAGCAAAAATGCCATAGAGACATGAAAGAGCATCCTGGATCCAAAGATGGGAGATTTCAGCAAAGCCTGGAAGGATCTGAGAGATCTTGGGAGGCCAAATGGAAGGAGGGTGCCAGATGACACCACAAAGCAAGGAGAAGAGGGGTTCCCTGGGGTGGGGAGGTGCAGAAATAGGAGGGGAAGCCTTGAGAGAGCCAAAGTTCAGATTTGGTGGCCGATGCGGGGTAGGTCAGGGACAGAAGAAATCAGAATGATTTCCCAGGTGTCATCACGGTTAGAGGCCAGGTTCCCCAGCATGAACCCCACCCTGGGACTTTGGGCAAGTTCCTTAGCTTTTCTGCTACAGCCTGCCCTGTGAAGTGGGGATAACCACAAGAGGTTGTTGGGAAGCTAAAAGCCATCCCAGAAAGAGTGCTCGGAGCAGGGGCAAGTGGCAGCTGGCAGCACCATCAGCCCTACCCCTGAAGCTGCCCCCTGATGAGTTTGCTTTTTGCCCTTTCCCACCTATGTGAGACCTTAAACAAATAGGTTCTAGGAGGGTGAGCACACTTTTGGTGTTCAGAGGGACCCTGATCTAGGAGGAACCAGCTGCCAGTTGCATTTGGCCAGACTGGTCCAGACAGGCGGTGGTGGGATGCGGGAGCCCAGTGTCCTTCCCATGCCCATCCCAGGCTCTTGGTGACTTGCACAGGCTCATGCCCATGTCCCTCTCGTTCCAAGTCTTTCACTAGTGTGCCCTGGTCAGGACAGCCCTGCACCAGGCCCCGCCACCTCTGGTGCTCTCCCAGCCCTGCCTCCTCCCTGCGGCTTGCCGCTGGCCACGCCTTTCCTGATACCATCTCCTACAGTGGATCCCTCAAAGAACTCAGAGCCACAGCACTGTCCCCTGCCCCTCCAGGCACTCCCAGGGCTGCCTCTGGTTCCCTGTAGGTGAGGAATTTCTCCCTCCTGTGGGATGTGCCATGGTGTGCATCAGATTCAGGAGCTTATTGGGAAAAGGAAGGAAATTATTCCTGGCCCTTTCACCATCTGGGCTCCAGGGAGGGAAAGCTGTGTCCTGGTTTCTCTCCTCACCCCTTGCCTTAGTTTGGTGCTGCAGAAACAAGAGTGCTTGGTTGGTCCCCAGCAAGCAGGATGGCCCTGGACACCTTGCCTTTCTAGCAAGAGCAGGCAGTTGGCACAGGCTCTAAGAGTAAGCCTGCCCGTTTCCTCTACAGATGCAGGCAGAGCTTTGCACACAGACGTCATCACACCGCCCCAGACCCCACTTAGCATGCATGGCACAGACACCATTGAGGCCTGCACAAACAGTGGGCACGAGGTACAGAGAGAGCGGGGAGGTGGCCACGGTGAATCAGGGTCTGCAGTGCAGAGGGGCCGCCCTCCCTGAGGGAACCGGCCGATTGTGGGGAGGGGCTCCAGGCACAGGAAAGAGTACCCCAAGGTCAGGAGGTGGGAAGGAGGCACCTGCGTCCCAAATTGTCCAGCAGACATCACCAGCAAGTGAGATGGAAGTGAAGGGTCTTGAATCCTGCCCTTGACAGTGGGGCTTTACACTGTGGGCAGGGGTTTCTCCAGGGTGGGCAGTGGGATCTCTGTGTGCTCTAGGGAGAAGCAGGCTGTCCTCTCACTTGAATCCTAAGCATAAATTTACATGAGCTCATTTTGTGGTGAGATGGCAGAGCCTCCAGATCACTTGGAATTGCAAGAAGTGGGCGGAGGCCCCAGGCACTGGTGGTTGCTGGGGGCAGCTCTGCATTGTTCACATTCCTCTCCCAGAAGCTCCAGGGGCCAGGGCAGTGCCAGGCAGAAGAGGGGGCCTTGGCCGCTTTCACTGCTTGAGGGCAGCCAAGCTTGCTGGGACATGTACACCATCTTTGCATGCCTTGCAGCTCTGGTGAGGTGTGGCTGGCAGGCCTGGCCTCCTCCTGGTTGATGAGGGCTAGGTCTCCCAGCCTCTGCTCATTTCTCCAGCTCACAGTCTTCCTTTTGTGATTTGAATGTCAATGTCTTTTTTGCTCTCAGAGTGATTTTTCTTTATTTATGTTTTTGGGTTTTTTTTCTTTCTTTCTTTTTTTGTAGATATGGAGGGGGAGGCAGTCTCACTGTTGCCCAGGCTGATCTTGAACTCCCGGCCTCAAACACTCCTCTTGCCTC